CCTATCAATCATGCATGTATACACACATATTAAAATTATTACCCTCTCTTGTATTTATATATTTTTTCTATTTAATCTTACCTATCCCTTCTTGTATTTATTTACTTTTTCTAATTGATTTTACCTTTTCAAAAATATAACATTTGAAATATATTTTAATGAGTGTGTGGGCACTCATTAAATGGACCCTTTTGAGAAATCCGTTGAACATTTAATGCCTTTCAAAATTACTTGAATGCACTAACCGATTTTGAATTGCTATAGACAATCTTCATAATATTATCATAGCTTGTAGTTATCCAAATTTTAATAATTGCTCCCATCTACAAATGCTTACGTAAAGATTTACCTTATTGAATTTTGTGGATGGAGATGGCTTTGCTGAATGTCAGGTTGCAAGGGAAATAGCTCTTCGATGCTAATCTCTCAAGTTGGTATCAAAGTACAACAAAATATCCTTGAATGGTTTACAGTGCATATATGCTCATAATGAATTTATTACAACACCGTAAATAAAGAAACAACCAACTTTGACTAATCCATCATCATTTTGAGAAATTCGTTGAACATTTACTGTCTTTCAAATTTACTTGAATGCTCTAGTCGCTTTTGAATTGCTATGGACAATCTTCATAATATTGACATAGTAAGCAGTGTTTTGAAAATTGGCCATTCGAATTGCAAACTGGTCACAATACTGATTTAGTTAACTAGTAAATCCAAAAAATCAATTGAATCAATCAAATTCAGTTAAGAATGAATCGAACCGCTCAAAAAACTGAACTTTTGAACCGGTTCATATTAACTTCTTTTAAAGTCATCCAATTTACATATTAAATAAAAGAAAAAAAGAAAAACATTTGAATTGAATCGAACCGATTGAACTAGGTTGAACGTGAACTGAAAGCTCAACCGATCAATCAACGATCTGAGTTTGAAAACATTGATAGTAAGTAATTGCTATTGGTCCCAATAAGTAATGCGAAAGTTATACATTATTTTGGCATGTCTTGAAACAAGAACACTATCTAAGCTATACAAAAATTTTGTTTCTTCATTTATTATCAGGAAAAAAATTCCCTTATATTTTCTCAGTTAAAGGCTATAACGAAAAATGAAAAGTTCAACTTTTGCCTCCCTGCATTGCCCCCATCTTTTACATCATTCATGTGCATGCTACCGCGACTGACATATGGCTCAGTCTGATTTTGAGAATCGATCGCTAGCCGACATCTTCTATGACTATACTTTGCATTCCATGATTTTTGTTGCCCTTTCTTGAATGTCCATCATCTTTTCAGCTGATGGATCTTGTGGAGATCCAAAGCATTCAATGTAAAATGAGAAGAATTAAACAATAAAATTACCAAAATCATAATGTCATGATTTATATTGGGTACGCTAGTAAGGATAGTGTTTGATTATGAAAGCCATTTGGAGCCAGAAAATGAGTACAGGAGTGTAATTTCAGGTGGAAAGAGGCAATCAAAAGAATGCAAATGACAGTTATGGTTTGAGGATTCTAAACAGAGCCCATGCCAAGTGAACAAGGAAATGTTGGGACATGACAATGACCTTAGAGTTCTTATGTCCAGCACTCTAGACTTATCAATAGACTCTAATGAAGAAGTAAATCTTACATCCAACACACCCCTTACCCTCCCCTCCCCCGTCTCCCATAACATTTGGAATTCTCATACTAGAAACACTCGATTTATTATCTTTTGCACTAATTCGTTGAACATTTCTTTCAGATTTACTTGGATGCTATAATCAGTTTTGAATTGTTGTGAACAATCTTCAAGATGTTTTCATAGTAAGTATGACCAATAAGTTGTACGAGTGATTGATAAATTTTGAATCTCTTGTTTATCAAGGCATAAATGTGTCAAGAAAAAGTACCATAAAATCACGAATTTTCTCAAATTATACGAGGAAATCATTAATAGATAAAGCAACGCTAATAAGTTCATTTGCTAATTGACTTTCCTTTTTCAATGTATTGCTGCACTTGACTAAAAAGAATGTAAAATAACTCAAACCAATTCAGTGTTATGACTAGTAAGAAATAGATATCTTTCCACTAACTTCGTTTCATTAACTTGAAACATGTTATCGTCTAGTTAGCATGAGCATTATTCATAGCCATTAGCACTATTTGTTGTAGTATTTTAATAAAATATTCAATCTTTATGTTAAATGCATAAGTTGCAAGGAGAGAATACGGTAACGGTTTTTTTCAAGAATTATTAGTATTTGACTAATGCTCATGAATTCACCTTCATCGGTAGAAATTAAAGGTTTTTAATTGCAATAAGTTTTGTAACCTACAATTCTAATTTTTTTTTTGAGCTAATTTTTTATTTTATTAATGGAAGAGATATACACAATATTTTCTTACAGACGTCTAAATTTCCGAACTGAGGGCAAACCCAACTTGTCTAGAAAAATTGCCCCACGAGCTTCCCTTGGGAACATACTGAAGCTGTCATAAATCTTGACTTGTTGGTATGGGTGAGATGTTCTGACATTGGATAAAACATCAGCAACTGTGTTAGCCTCTCGATAACAGTGTGATAAATGAGCAGGATCTTCCAAGAACTTCCAAATCTGTCTGACTTCCCTTCGAATCTCCCATGGACATTGAATACGCTGCTGAATGATCTCAACTAGAAGCAATGAATCTGATTGAACCCTTATATTTTCGAAACCCCTATTTTTACATGTTTGAAGACCAATAAGGAGGGCCCAAGTCTCTGCACGGAGAGATGTAGTTTGACCAAGATAAGCCGAGAAAGCAATCACTGGTACGCCAATTGAGTCTCGAAGAGAACTCCACCACCTCCACCCACTTCTGGATTACCTTTAGAGCATCCATCCGTGTTAAGTATTAAGCTCCCTGTCTCCTTTATTTCCCAGCGAACCAATTTATATGCAATTGTACCGACAGATACATTCGATCGATCATACAAATGATGAAAAGACTGCAATTGAAGTGTTTGTTTGAAATGAATCCCCACCATAGCCTGTATTTCTGAGAATATGTTCTTACAAATAGCAGACGATTGCATCTGGACACCCTCAAACATTGCTTTATTTTTTGCTTTTCAAATCTGCCAGCAAAGTACACTAGGTAGAATGCGGTCGATAAGTCGTCGTGTCTCAGAGTCATGTAAGCGCAACCACCATCCTACGATGCGAGGACGCAAATAAGATCCTGGACACTTGAATCCACATAAGCCTCCAAAATAGTTCCAAACTACCGAGGCAATTTGTCCATTGGCAAATAGGTGCTCACTAGACTCCACAGATGCCGAGGAGCAGCAGAAACATTTTGAGGGAAGTTGGAAACCAAGTTTACTTAACCTATCTGGTAATGGTAGTCTTCCCAGAAACAATCTTAACATGAAGAATGAGACTTTCCAAGGAATCTGAGGATGCCAAATGTTAGTAAAAGCCATTGACTTATGACGGGTCTGCCTGACGTCCCCAAAAGCCGATTGGAGAGAGAACTTACCGGATGTCGTGGGCATCCAAAAGACTTCAACTTCACTCCCTTCCTCTGGTACCGGGTGTTCCAAAATAGAAATAAATTTCTCGCTTGGCATCATCGAATGTAAGAGATTTATATCCCAGTGACCATTGATGATAAAATTGTGGAATGACAAATTTGGGATAACTTTTGCATGTAGGAATAACGCACCACTTCCCAACCAGTTGTCATACCAAAAATGACAAACTCCATCCCATAACATTGAGAGCTCCACTTGTCTACTTACGTTGATCATCCTTCTCCAAACTGTCGAGTCCGTTGTTCTGAGTTCAATCTGACAAGGATGAAGGCTTCCGCAATATTTTGCTCTCATGAACGATGCCCACAGGGATGATCCTGTTCGGAAATTCCACCAAAGCTTGCATGAAAAAGCTTGATATACGTCCCGTAGTCTTCGGAACCCGACTCCCCCTTCCTCTATCGGGTAACACAAGTGAGACCATCGTATCCAGTGGAACTTCGAGTCGTCGGTTGATGATCTCCATAGGAAGTTCGAGCATGAACTTTCTATAAGTTTGAACACCTTGGCCGGGATCACAGCAGCTGACATTAGATGCATTGGCATAGAAGCCAACACATGCTTGATTAGAACTATTTTGCCTCCAAAGGAAAGCAACCTTGATTTCCATGACAAAATCCTCCCTAAAATAGATTGGCACACTTCTCCAAAATATGAAGATTTGCATCTTCCAGAATAAAGAGGGAATCCCAAATAACGTATCGGAAATGACTGCCAGGCAAACCTAGTGATACGTTCAATCGCCCTTCGTCTCGCCGGTGACGTCGATGAGTGGACCAAATAACAGCTTTTTTGCACATTTATGAGCTGCCCCGAACACCTTTGATATGCCTGCAACACCTGCATGATTGCCTTCAGAGAAGAAGAGGATCCATTTCCGAATATAAGAACATCATCCGCAAACGCCAAGTGAGTAATAGCCGGACACCGATATGGAACTTTGAAACCCTGGAATCTCGATTGCATGGTGAGGTTATTCAGTCCTCTAGATAAAACCTCAGAGCCTATAATGAATAATGCAGGTGATAATGGGTCACCCTGGCGAAGGCCTCTCCAAGACTTAAAGAAACCGTAGGAGGAACCATTTATAATGATTGAAAACCAGACATTAGAGAGTAATCGCCATATAAGGTCAATAAATATTTCCCCGAATCCAAACCTCCTTAGAACACTGATAATATGACCCCATGACATTCGGTCATATGCCTTGGACATGTCTAGTTTCATTAAAACATTTCCACCTCTATTCTTTTTCCCCATGCTTGATACCATCTCTTGAGCTAGTAGAAAATTTTCAGTTATATTGCGGCCCTTCACAAAACCTGTCTGATGTGGGGAAATGATTTTTGGCAGTAAACAAGCCATCCTGTCTGTCAAAATCCGAGATAACACTTTATTGAAAAAATTACATAGACTGATGGGCCTGAATTAAGAGAATTCCTGAGGATTTGGCGTCTTTGGCAGTAGTATAATTGAAGTAGAAGTGATGAATCGTGGTAGCTCCGCCCCACAGAAGAAACTCAGTACCGCATTGTAAACATCTTGAGCGATCACTTCCCAAGCAAATGTAAAAAATTTGCCTGTGAAACCGTCTGGGCCAGCTGCACTTTCTCCATCCATTAACTTTATGACTCCATATACCTCCTCAATCGAAGGTAATGCTTCCAGTTTTCCATTATCCTCTTCCGTAACCAAGTGCGGAATTAAATGTAGCATATCAGTAGATGATTCCAAAGAGCCCGTGAAAAGATCATTGAAATATGCCGTTGCCTCACTTGCTATATCGTCATCCTTTTCCACCCAAACACCATTGAACTTTTTGATGCGGTGTATCACTCCTTCAGCTCTTCTCTGCCTTACTACCGCATGAAAATATCTTGTATTCCTATCTCCATGACGTAGCCATTTGACCCTGGCCTTCTGTCTCCAATACCGCTCTTCAATTGACATTGAATACCGCAATTCTGCTTGTGCCTTATTAAGCTCAATTTGACCCGCTTCGGAATAATCTTGGTCTAGCAACTCCTCAGCTCGTTGAACCGCCATTTCTGCAGAGCGGACAGCATCAAAAATATTCCCAAAATGTTGCTTGTTCCATGATTGAATAGCTCTCCTCATTGCCAATAATTTAGAACACAATACGCGAAGCGGAGATCCACCCACATCTTGTTTCCAAACATGGCGAATCACTTCCAAGAGATCTGGTTTGGAAGTCCAAATATTCAGAAAATGGAACGGCCGAGGTTTGTTATCTGACCGAGTTGCAAAAGAAACCTTCAATGGTGCATGATCGGAGGGGTGTCTTGCCAAGTGAAGCAGCGAAATGTCATTTGAAAAATCCAAACAAGATCCGTTGACTAAAAATCTGTCCAACCTTTTTGAAATCCGAGCTCTACTCCGTCGATTATTAGACCATGTGAATTTAGATCCTGAAAAACCTACATCAAAGACCTCAGCTTCCTCCATAAAATTCATAAAATCCACTCCTTCCGCTATAGCAAATGGACGCCCCCCTCGCTTTTCGTGTGCTGCCAGTATAACGTTGAAATCACCTCCAATACACCAAGGAAGTAAAGTAGGCTTATCATGTAATAAAGAACTCCATAACTCTTTACGCTCGTCCACTGAGCACTTTGCATGAACAAAAGACATAATGATTGAACTTGGTAGTAATGGCTTTTGAACATCTAGAGAAATATGCTGATCCGAATTACCAACGATCGAGCAAACAAAAGGATTATTATAGAAAACCCAAATATCACTAGAGCAATTAACAAACACATAATCAAAAGATAGACGTAACCGAATGAATTCGGTTTTAGATACGTCTAGTTTTGGCTCACAAATCACAACAAAATGAACATGATAAATCCGAACTAATTTAATCAATCTTCTTAGATTTGGTGCTTTTACTATCCCTCTAATATTCCAAAATATTCCATTAATCATAAGAAAGAACCTGGAATGAGTTTTTGGATGATGTCTGTGACCTTAACTGTCTGTCAGATGGGATTGGAGCTCGCATACCCTTCCTGTGCGGTTGTCGGAAGTCACCACCGGTCTCACCTGTTTGATCAATGTTTAGGCCATTCATTGATGATTCCAGTATTTTTTCTTGTGGGACACCAATTCGTGGGGACAGATTTCCAGCATTAGTAGGCATTTGATTTGCTTCTACCAGCTGTTGTGTAGAAACTTCATCCTCCACCCCTCGCAATTCAACATAGAGATTCTCCAAAACATTGGTGTCGGCCAACAGCTGCAGTTGAACATTGGTTTTGTCGGCCAATTGCTCATGATCACCCTTGGCGTTGTTGTGGGGCAGATTCTCTTGTGTAACTCTTATAGCTTTGTCGGTCAGATACTGTTGTGCCAATGTTAAAGCATTCTCGGCCAGATGATGTTGTTCAGTGCTCAAATGTTTCTCATTGAGGACATGGGACCCTTCGCTTTGACTGCCATGATGTTCCTCCAGCTGGTTTTCCATTGCTTCATGTCCCCCATGCAAAACCGTATTCATCACCTTACATGTCTCCATGTTTACATTGACAGCTGAATTCTGTAGATGGGTTACTACTCCTTCTTCATCAGCAGGATCATCATCAATAATGCAGTGTTGCAGATTTTTTACTTCCTTTTGCACGACTAGCACGGCAGGCTCAGCAACCATGGCTTTTGCTGCTGAAGTTTTTATCCCTTTTTTCACCGTAGCAGTAGTTGAAATTTCCTGTGAAGCAGACTCATTTATCACAGTTTCATTCGCAGTAGCAGCAACTTCCTTATCTGTCATTTCAATAGCAATAACAGTGGATATATTCGCTGCCTTTTTATTCTCCAAATCAGTTTGATTAGTCCCAGGTTGATGAGTAATCATCTTACTTCTATCTATGTATGGGCTTTGCTGGTTGTTCAGCTGCAGCCGAGACCCATCATTTTTCAAATTCTTGTTGCAGTGCTCATGAGAATGTCCTAATCTTGAACAGAAAGAACAATACGGAGGAAGATTCTCTGTCTCAATACGTTGCCAGAAACCTGATTCCCCTTCGACAGCAACCCACACCCGTGGCACAACAAGCTTCGCAACATCTATCTCTACGCACACCCTGGCTACACTAGGACGTGTCCCAGCAGCCGTTGCCGAATCTAGGAACAATGGTCTTCCTACTGGAGACAGAATGGAAAACAAAGAGTGTTTGTCAAAATAATGAATAGGTAGAGATGGAAGATTTACCCAAACCGGTACTAGAGATGATTCTCTATGCACATGAAAATCCCTGGTCCATCGAAACACACGCATTGGATGTTTACCCAACTGCCAAACTCCTCTTGTCCAAATTCTATTGAAATCTGCTTCAGCTGTACATTTAATAAGTACATGCCTGTAGTCCAGTAATCCAATGGAGACTTGGTCTTTCAAGTTTAAAGAGGAAAAAAACTTTCGAATATCTTCCAAAGAAGGTCGTCCATGAGAGAATTTGCCAACCAAAGTCCATCTAAATGGTGCTGCAAGTTTGTCCGCTTCTACTCTGGAAAATATAACCGCAGCTTCACCCTTATAAACAGACGCTTGCCTAATCTGGATTGGAGATGTTGCCGGCTGTGAGAAAAGCTGAGAAAAAGATTTTTTTGTTGTAGGGAAAAATTCTTGCCCCTCAGCCGACGGCTGAAGGGCTGCCATGAAACCTTACGATCACTAATGGCGAGAAGAAATAAGATAGAGAGAATAATGAGAGAGAGAGTAAAGTTGTAGGATCAAATCTCTATATGGTCCAAGTTTTTTTTACAATTCTAATTTAAATATAATTTGAATAGTCAATAACTCCTATATTTATCTAGCATATTATTATTTATGTAACTTATGGCTTTTGAATAACTTTATATATATATATATATATGTATGTATGTGTGTGTGTGTGTGTGCACGCACACGTGCAATTTAAGATAGAAAGCACCACTAATAGCAGTGTAACTACTTCTCATAATATTTTGAGAGTTAGAAGAAAGAAACAATATGTTCTTCTCTACATTACTATCTTACATTTTGGCAAGTAAAAATGGTGTTGATAGAGCTATACTCTCTTAGTTATGCTAACTAATGAAAGTGATAGTAAGTGTGACTGGACTATTGTATTCTGGAGGTGACAAGCGGGAGATCCTATTGCGCCGAAATTGATTCTTCCACAAAAACTTGAATCCCCTTAAAGAAAGCAAAATATATGTGTCTCAACCCACCGCATTTATTATTATTATATTATTATCATTTACAATTTTATTATAATTAATTTTATAATTGTTATAACTATTGTTATAACTACTGTTAATTTTTCTATTTGACATTTGTATTTTTCTTCTGGCGGAACAACATTATTCATCACTGAAGTCATGAACTCATAAAACTTATCTTTGTTTATTTTCACAACCTTGCCTTACTATTAACTGCAGCATGAAATTTCCACTTTCATTTAGGTATATCGTTTTACACAAAACGTGGTATGGTGTTTTCAGCCATAAAACCATGTCTTTTATGAGCACTTCCAGGTTTCCTATAACTTTTTATACTTACAGAAAAAAAAAGGGGGGCCATAAAACCATGTCTCATGTTTTTTTTTTTTATAACAAGTCTATTTCGTTGTTGAATGATGGATCAAGCATCAGTAATATGCTTTAAATTCTAATACGAACAATTATGTGATGCACAACATGTTGTATTGATGATGGTTAAGTGATAATAAAAAAAAATCTGAATAGCTTAATTTTAACCTAGTGACTGAGAAGAAACGATTATAACATAAAAGTTTAACCATTACTCAAGGCATTTTTTAATGACGCTAAAAGTTAAAAATCACGTGGAGAAAGAAGTTGATTCAAATAGTTTTACAAAAATATAGGAAAAAGCTTATTGTGGGATAGCACAAAATGATAGTCTAGAATTGAATAAAAATAATTGCTCTTGATTTGAGTGGTAAGCATATTTTTAATTCAACAAAAAAAATCATTTAAATTTGGCATATATTATCCTTGCAAATGCAGGAGAAAGTTCTTGGCAATTACAGGTGCGATTAGAAGAGACAAATAATGGTGAGAATAAGGCTAATTTTAGATTTGATGAATAGGATTAACAGTGGTACAAAATCTTAGACAGGTGACAACAATTACAAAGCTTTTGCATGTTATTATCTTAGCATGTACATAAGTTCTTTCATCTTTATACTAGGGTATACATTGTTTCAAGCTACTATATATGATAAGTTCCAAGACTCAGATAATTTCCTAGTAATGCTAATAAGTATCGAGTGGCTATAAGTTAGATAAAACCTTTTTATTTCATATATACTTAAATACATAATAGAAGAAAGTTCAAAATTTTGTAACAACTCTTTTATACCAAAAATAGCTCGACAAAAAGTGAGAGCCCAAACTTCATATGTTTCTTTAGATTCGTTTATGTGTTTGATGACTAAGGTACGTATTTAGCACTTCATTGATGGTTTGATAGTAAATTTATTGTATACAACTAGGGGGAAGCCCGCGGGAGTTTAACCTATGTGATAAAATATTTATTCAAATAAATTTATAAAAAAAAATAGTAGAATTAGAATTGTATGGTAATTGGTTTAATTGAATCAGTTAAAGTGCATGAAATTATAAATAAATTGGCCAAATCAACAAACTTATAAAGGAAAACAAATTTATAAGTAAAAGAAATAGGATTGTAGTAGATAATTACACCATACCACAACAACAAAAGCAAAAATATCATTACCTTTGTTACTATACCATTATAATACAATCATAGCCATATCCAATCGACAATTAACATGTATCAACTATAAGGTCGGATTTAGATCCTACCTTGGTCATGAAATTGCAGTCAATACATAATCTTTAGTCGTAGTTTAATCACCTGCAGCCACGAACATCAAATTTTGGAAAATAGTTAGAAAATGTAAGAAGGTTCCCATGGATATTCATATGTATGTATCATGTATTCCATAACGAAATTTCTATATTCAGACAATAGCTATTGAGAAAATATTGCAGTAGAAAACTCACAACTTTTATTGTATCAGTTAAACATCCAAAATTCCAAAAAGAAAGAAAGTAAATGAGCATACATGTCCAAACACGCACAACAAAAGATTGAGCACAAGCACTTGAAGCAACATTCTTCAGTATTAAAAGCCTTCATTATTGTCAAGTTGAAAAGCACTATAATTATATTTGTAACGGATTGGAAATATGAACCAAAACCAATCATATTTATTATTAAGTGTTTCTTGAACCAATCATCTTTAACATTAAGACCCTCTATTATTGTAGCTATAAAAGCTACCCAGTAATTATAAAAGAAGATGAAGAGCATTGCAATTACACTTGTAAGTGGTCCCTTTGGGGACATTCCATAAAATTGGAACGATACAGAGAAGATTAGCATGGCCCCTACGCAAGGATGACACGCACAAATCGAGAAATGGTCCAAATTTTAATTAAAAAAAAAAAAAGCAATTACAGTTGTAAGTGGTTTAAACACCACTTAAAAGCTTGATAATCACGTGGAATATAAGCCAATTGCAAATGGGAGAACATAATAGTCAACCCAACTCAACTATACACTATAATGTTACACATTTGGTCTAATCACTTGCATTTGATTTTATCCCCAAAGATGGCAGATGAAAAATTTTCCAACAGTCATCTACAAACTCCCATCTACAAACTCCTTTATATATACATACATACATACATATATATATATATATATATATATATATATATATATATAGGATATAGGATATTCTTGAGTTTCATGTGTCTTCTTGATTATAACCTGACTGCCTTTGAATCGAATTTAATTTATTGATTTTTCTTTTGTGTAGCTTTTGAATTCCAATCAAATAATAGTATCTTTTTCACTCTATAGTATTTGGTGCCTTTTCTTCAATTGAAACCCATTATACTAATTTGGAACCCTAAATGGTGGTTGGGCTACTATGTTCTCCATTGCATTATATTTGATATTTGCACATTTGTTACCAAATAAGTTAATATTTATACTTTTAGAACTATTTCAATATCTATCAGTTAACTTGTTAAAAGAGTCCCATTATAATGCCGAATTTGAAAATGCCAAAAATCAATCAATGCAACAGACTTTGAGCACTCACTAGCACAAATACCAATTTTATCGTTAAAATTGCACTATTTGCACTTTTGGATCATCATTTGTCTTGCGGCAGTACAGAGAAATACCATATTTGGCACTTAAGAATTTGCCCTTGTAAAATACTTGTTCATGATACTATTTTGCGGCTCAAGATCACTAGAGCAGCTTGCTTTTTGCAATTCATCTAGGTATTTTCAATTAAATTTGTAATTTTTTCTTTTGATAAGGCATCTTTTAGCTAGTTTGCAAACTTGCATGTGATTTTGGCATCTTGAAAATTACATTAATAAAAATGTTTTTCCAAAAACACTGAATTTTAGGCATATATGTGTGTTTATACACACACATACAAATTGTCTCGTGTCGAACGCCACCAGTAACCTTTTCGACGATGGGCCTTACACACACACACACATACATACATTCATACATATATATTGAGTGTAAGTTTACCTTTTCAATTGTAACATGCTATAAATAGAGTGGACGTATAATTACACTTTTAAAAGTGAGGGGCGAAAAAAGTTATTTTGCAAAATGTAAAGGACGTTTTGAATGATTTTTCCTAAAAATTATATTGATTTTTCAAAGATTTCACTCAATATTAAAACTAATTTGTAATCGTTGCATCATCAAGTTTTTTCCAACTTTAGTCTTTGGTTCAATATCAAGGATTTCAACTCCTTTTTTTGTTTTTTGATTGATAGAGTAAGATGAGTGGGAATTGAACTGACATTTAATGGTAGATATGCATTAAATTGCCACCTACGAGTCAAATTTAATATTAATAGCCTCTTTTGTCTAATAATCCATCATTCTAATGTTTTTTTTCTCTGTTTTGATATTGCTATTTCGCATCTCTTTTGTTGCATATGTGCATTACATCAGATGTTTAGCATCATCAAATAGTAGAACGTAACAACTTAGTACTTACTATATGGTTTAACTAGGTTTAGCTTGGCTTTCTACTATGTTGTCAGTATCATAGCTAATTCTTCTTTCAAAAAAGAAAGGGAAAATCGTTCAAAACGTCCCTCACATTTTATCAGATGACTTTTTTTGTTCATCACTTTTAAAAGTATAATTTTACGTCCCTTACAAATTCACATTGATCAAATTTGGTCCCTATCTAGATTTCCGACTAGTTTTTGGGTAGAATCCACCACATGACTTGCATGTGATCAATGTTTTAGGGTAAAATTGTCAAATCAAAATTTTACATAATCTGATTCATAATCCCTCACATTTCACAAAATAAAATTTTTCGTCCCTAACATTTTACAAAATGAATTGTTTCGTTCCTCACATTTCAAAAAATGAAATTTTCCATCCCTCACATTTTTCAAAATGAATTTTTCATCCCTCATTGATCATGTGTACGAATAGCTTTTTTTCTATAAATTCACATAGTATAAATAATATGTAATTTATCTCTATTGGATTTCATCTAAACATGTTAATCGTAGTTATACACATGCTATTCAATAGATATATATAGGGGTTTAAAACTAATAATTTTGTTTGAAACCCATGTATATATTTATATGATTTCACCATTTGAACCTATTCAATATTTGTGACCTTTCTCTTTTGGTAATAATTTATTTATTGAGTTGTATAATAAGATCATCTAATTAATGGGTCCTAATTCGAATTCTATAATTGTGCTAACAAATTTCAGTTTAAATCTGAAATTTCTACTCGATACTTTTAAGACCAACAGTTGAATTACTTGCCTAGTGATTGTCTTGAAATTTGAAAGTGCCAATCACTTAATTTTCTTTCTGTCGTACTTTTCTTTTTCTTTTTTTTTTTTTTACTTCTTCTATCCAAATTTAATTCGATATAAACACTTGATAATATTTAGGATTAAATGTCTTCTTTATTTTCAAATTTCGAGTAAAAGAAAATGAATATAAGTGAAAAACTAACAATTTTTTTAAACCCATGTATATATCTATTTGATTACACTTGAGCAGTACAAATAGTATGTAATATATCTCTATTTGATTTCACATGCTATTCGTACTGTTCAGGTGAAATCAAATAGATGTATACATGGTTTTAAAAAAAATATTCACACACATGATCAATAAAAGATGAAAAAACTCATTTTGAAAAATGTGAAGGATGGAAAAAGTCATTTTGTGAAATGTAAGGGACGAAAAAATTTATTTTATGAAATATGAGGGATTATGAATCGAATTATATAAAATTAATTTGACAATTTTGCCCTTAAAATATGATCACGTGCAAGGCACATGGTGAATTCCAACAAAAAACTAGTCGGAAACCTAAGTAGGGACCAAATTTGACCAATGTGAATTTGTAAATGATGTAAAATTACGTTTTTAAAAGTGAGGGATGAAAAAGGTTATTTTGCAAAATGTGAGGGACCTTTTAAACTATTTTCCCAAAAAGAAATTCCTTTCACAAATTTTTTATTATCAACCTTTTACATTCTAACTCAACTCTCCAAATTGATTTTGATACCCATGGATAAAAGATAATGTGCACTGAATTGATTTTACATTCTAACTTAAGTTTAATAACTGATATAATTAATAAATTTACTACTAAATGACTAAATCACCCTTATAATAGTGTGCACACTATTCTAATGTAAGAGTAAATTAATATTTTGCTTATTATTTACAATTTACGAGTAGTAGTAATTCATGATCTAAATACGCAGTCCACAAAAGTTACACCCTTGTTATGAATAACAAATCTTCGAATTCCTATTTCGCAAATTTTCCCTATCTTTTTCTAGGAAATAAACCATCTTTGTCACCAAAATCAATACCTCTTTTCACAACCCCAAAATAATGGCCAGTTCTTGGCACCGCACCCTCCTCCTCCGCCTCCTCCACCACCACCACCAGTGCTAATCTGTTGTTTAATTTTCAGCGTCGACCAGATGTCACTGGGCCAAATAGGTGGACTAGGTCTTTTGGATGCCCATACAAAAAATAAAACAAAAAAATCCTTAAGCAAATTAATCTGTCAGCTTCTATATAAAGAAAAGAGGAATTTTCTGTAGATGCATATAAATCAGCGAGTATATATCTTATCCAACATGTTTGAATATATTTTTATGGTTCCATACTTCGATTGGGGAATCAGTTCTGACAAACTCCAGAAGGAACATTTCATCAAGCTAGCTAACTTGTATTGGAAGTACACAAGCACTTCATCGTATTGCGTTGCGATTCCAAAAACACTGATTGTACTCTTTTATTGCCAATTTGCAGACAATGAATGGATTTACCTTAACTGGACAAATGAGAATAAGCTATAAAATCTTGCAACGAATGAGCCAAGACATTTTATACTCTTCTCTACCCTGAAAAAAATAAATCGATCCCATTAGAGGAATCAAAAATTGGAACTACTCGTGGGCTCAGGGTCTTCTGGTTTGAGAGGAATTTACAGTCAATGATGACAATCCAATAGTATCAGGGTTCTTCAGCTGCTCGAGTTGTTTCTTACCCAGGCGAAGCAAGTATTCAATGTACTGGAAATTCTTGCGATCGATTTGCTTGGCATTGCGACGGAATTCAGATGACACAAATGACTCAATCTTGTGTCTCTCTTCTGGAGATTTGGAGTGTGCTGCTCGCAGGAATCCTCTATACAGAGCAAGCACTTGCTTCTGCATTCCAGAGAGCCTTGGCCCATTCGAGAGTCCCATTATAATGCCCTTTTAGATCTTCTCAGCCTATGTACAGGATAATAAGTTTAGAGACAATGAATAGTATTTTGTCTATCTCTGTAGTGCTCTGTTGCAGCCTGACAGAAAATAACAAAAAGATTGAATTAATTATATGCATATGCCTAAAAATGAAAGCGGAAGCAAAATGCAGGATAAATGAAGAAAGCACAAATTATGCATGGCGAAAGGAAAGGACTCGAACCTCCCCCTGACCAGTGAGCCACACACACACACACACACACACACAGATATATCTGAAAATATTTCTCAAGAAATCTACCAGGACTGACGCACACTCCTTTTTCTAGCAATTGCAGACAGTACCCCTCTAATTTCAGAAACCCCCTATGTTCATGTTTCGGGCAACAAAAAACCCAATTTGCCTATGTAAGCAAAAATACTCAATGAATATCCTAAAATGCCTCCTATTAAACCCTTTTTTTTAAAGGTACGTCCCATATCCAATCACCACCACCATATTCAATCTCCTCCACTACAGCCACCAGCTTTAGAGTTCTCTTCCCTACCACCACCATTTTCAATCATCAAAACAACACAAATCGAAAATCCTTTGACCACATATCCTTATACCCATATCAAGAACCAAGTATTCTACCAAGAGATCCACCATCCATTCAATCCTACAAAAGCTCAGCCTTCATCAACTCTCATAAACACAAGACAAAGACCATAACCAACAAATTACTCAAAAAAAAATTTAAATTAAAGTATAAAAACTGCAATGGATTCATAGGCCAACTAAACAGAAAATTAGACAAGTTAAACTTCTGAACGTCATTGTGGAAGGAAAATTGAGGAGAATTCTCCATTCAGTGCTTGTTCTAAGCAAATTACAGTTATCATAGGGCAATGATGGGCCACTGCCTGTGCATGAAATTCTCCTCTAATTTCTCGCCAATAGCATAAAAGCACAAGCAAAATGCAAAGGGAACATCAAAATCAAAAACCAACACCCAGAAGTTAGTTATCATTATTCCCAAAATAGTCTACATCCATAAACAATATAATAAAGGATGTACCAATAAGTTCTACATGGTATAGGAATTTTAGGGATTAGACAGAGGAAAAAATAATCATGGCCACTGTTTGTGAATAAATGAAGGAGAAAGAAAGAAAAGTGGATGTTGGAAGAATTTGTGGCTAAGTAATGGTGAGGAAAAGATTGGTAGAGATTACTGTTGGGGCAGGACAAAGGCAGTGTCACCTTGGCTCCCCAGGCTTTGGTAACTTAACGATTGCTCTTCCTTCAGTGATGCATGAGAGACAATTGATGGAAACTGCTGCAGCCTTAGCTTGGCAGAAAATCGGACTAAGTCTTTGTTGGGGTAAATCTTTGGCCTGAGAAAGTTGTTCCTTTTACATTCAACAGAGAAAGCACCGAGTTATTTGGAATTTTGTGAACCACAGACTGAGGGACAGGGTGAACAATAGGCGAGCCCGAGGAGCAGGGTGGCTGATAGGCAGTGGAAGTTGGGTGGAGAGCAATGAAGAAAGGAGGAAGAGAGAAAAGAGAGAGAAGAGGTTGCAAATTAAGAAGACCTGAGCATCCTGGGAAAACTTTTTCTCCTACAAGCTCTTTTTCCATGTAAATTGGGAACTAAATGAAGATCATTTAAGGTAATTCAATGTGTTAAGGAAGGTCTGTGTAATATCTCAAATTAAAGGGGAACTGTCCGCAATTCTCAGAAATCTCGGGGGAGGTTTCTAAAATCATCCTTAAAAAAGATTATCGATTCTAATTTCAACAACAAATTATCTGATCCACATTCCAAGTTATACAGAATTCCCAATTCTCCCTACTTCTTTTCACATCTTCCCAACTTGAAACAGCAGCTTGAATATCACCAGAAATTTATTACCACCTCAGTAGTCCATGCTTCACTTCTGCAAACTCTCTGATTCCAATCTTGCCAAATATGGTACCCAGTGGCAGCAAAGCTTAGACTAAGAACAACCTGCTAAAAGACTTAAGATCACATTGAGCACAGAATCGCACCAGCTAATTGTTCCACTCAAATCTTCCTCTTTATACATCTTGAGGTATCTGAGTTTCCTTCCAGATTGCGTATCAACAGTAAAAGAAACACCAAGAAAGCACTCTTTTTTCTGTCTTTCTTATTTTTTTTCCCCAGGAGAAATTAAACAGGCATATCTGTTTCTGGGGAGGTTAAACGCAAATGTATTTCTCACTTCTCTACATTTAAGAGCAGCCAAGATTTTCTGTTTTTGAGATCTATAATAGAGCTGCGGTTGAACTGAGCCCCGCATAATGCAGTTTAGCATTTTAAGATTCCACATGCTCAATTCAAGCTCTAAAACAATTTTCAACCTTGGCATCTGAGTTTGAGGTTATATTAAGCTTGCGAAGTCAAATTCAAGGGGAATGTCTAATCTAATTGACGTCACAGGTAAGTTCCAGATTATTATCAGAAGAGCTTATCGAGATGAAAAAAAAGAATCACATGTAAGAATCTTTGCAAGCAATCACCCACTTGGCCTCATTGATGAAAACCAGAAAACAGAAACCTTAGGATAAAATTTTCCAGTAGACAAAGGAAATAGTAGAATATGCCTCTGCAAGGGAGTGATGAGCTACTAACCAAGGAGGTGGAGATGATTACTTCTTTTCCTTCCTTAACCGTCATCTTTTCTTCTCTGTAATCCAACAACCAAGAGCATTTTCTCAGGCCATGTACATCTTGCTCAAACTTAATAGTCTGTATGGCTAGGAAAATGACATTTATATCTGCTTTCTAATTCAAAAACGAAAAAGAGCATTTTTTGGGTCATTTGAAATCTTTCTACCCTCTAGATCTTCATATCCTAACAGATCTTTTTTTCCTTTAGTTCCCATTTTCAGTTACCGAATTCAACCTGCCTAGGCTACTAAGAGGTTCAATTTACTTTCTTGAATAAGCTAATAAACACAGATACACAGTGCAACTATAATCCGTGCTTCTATTATAAGTTTCTACTTAAATACATCCCAGTCTGAAAATCTTCAAACTGAGCATCTCTCCATTGGACGTTTTCTAAGATTCATAACAAAATTTAACTGTGAAAATCTAAGTAGAATTAAGCTGATTGAACCATGACTTTAGAAGTCCAGCAAGCACAAAGGATAGCTCTATATTTCTACCGCCCTTAGCTATCATAAGCCTGAGCTCCAGAACCTGACCAACAAAACAAGCAACTCAACAAATTCCAGAGTGCATCTCCTCTTAAAAAGCTAAAAAATCCAACAACCAAGAAATACAAAGCTCAAACTAGAAAAAACAACACATTTCGTTGATCTTAATCTCCTACCTACCATATTTCCAATCAATCGAAATTGCTCTTTCATAGCTCATACATGTCAAATCTTTTCCAGACCAACATGTGGAGAGACTTGAGGGAAAAAACAACAATTTGTTTTGGTACAATTATATTTTCAAGACTAGTCTAGGAACTAAACCACCAAGCTAATTGATATCCTACAAAAACGGTAGCGCCGCCCCGGAAAAATTGCTCTGCTAGATGCCATTCACTCTAACCAGAGGTAAATTGCACACGGAGAAAGCCATATTATTAATTTGCGAACAATTATTAACCACTGTATAATAATAATAACATTAAAATAAAATGAAAGAGAACCTTACGGTGTTCGGCGTCGGCGTCAAGTGCTAGCTGTATATTTTGGGGTATTTAATGGAGAAAAAAGATCAAGGCAGAAAGAGGAAGGAGGGTAGGTATGGCGGAATAGAAGAAAAAGACTTGTTGAAAGCGAAAGGTGCAATTGGACTTATCCAGCCGGATGCTAGGAAATATATCGGGAAGAAGGAGGCGACGGTGGCACGGTGGCGGTGAAGGTGAAGGAGGAGACATTTTTACTGTTAATACTTAATAGTAATACCTTAATGGGATAATTTCAGAAACCTCCCCTGAGGTTTCTAATAATTTCAATATCCTCCCCTAAAGTTTGTAAAATTATACAAACCTCTTCCGAGGTTAAGGTTTTGATAACAAAGTTAATCCAATTAAAAAAAATAACATTAAAAAAGTACTTTAAAGAGAGAGATGAAACTTTTATTTCATAAATACCCCTTATGCACATATATAAGTCATATTAGTAAAAAAATAAAAATAATGAAAATTAGAAATAATTAATATACATATTTAATCACTTAAAAAATTCACATTTAATAAATTACACAATACTAATAAGCAACAAATTTTCCCTCCATTTCAAAAATTTTCAAATTTTGTTTTTTTCCCCTCATTTCTCCCTTATTTCCATGAAATTACTTCACAATTATCTCTTTTATTTCAATAAAATTACTTTACAATTGTCATAATTTTAAGAGTTTCAAAGAAAACTAAAAAGAGGGAAAAGAAATGCAAAATTTAAAAACTTTTCTATTCAAAATTACAAGAATCATAGCAAATATTATGTTAAAAGAGTTGACTAGTTTATTTTGTTGAATCTTGTAATCATTAGTGTAGTTTTGTTACTTATTTATATTATCTAATTTATTAAATGTGAACTTTTTGAGTAGTTAAATATGTGTATTAATTGTTTCTAACTTTTAATTATTTTTATTCTTTTACTAATACGGCTTATGTACATGCATAAGGAGTATTTATAGAATAAAAGTTTCATCTCTTCCCTTGAAGTACTTTTTAATATTATTTTTTTTAAATTGGACTAACTTTGTTATCAAAATCCTAATCTCATAGGAGGTTTGTAAATTTTACAAACTTTAAGAGAAGCTAGTGAGATTGTCCGAAACCTTAGGGAGGTTTCTGAAATTATCCCTACCTTAATACTACTACTTAACAAGCTCGCTCGATTAAGTTCTTTTTTACTTTTCTCATTTTGCAATCAGATTTTTTTCGTTATTTTATTTACTCTGCCTTTTTTTTTTTTTTTTGGTACAAAGATTAGTTTGCAAATATTTGAATTTAGAACTTAGCCCATTACAACTAACCCACTCTAACTTTAGCCCAAGTTTTGAGCATGTATAAAATGGTGTAATTGCTATAATAACATTACTTTGTTATATTATTTTAAAAAAAATTACTTTGTTATATACATAAATTTTTTGTTTATTTACACTAATCATATATATATATAATAAAGTTGTATCCTCATTCTTATTCCTTCATGTTTTCTCTTTCTTACGTGACTTAACGAGATGACAAATAGTTTCCTAATAGGATTCTTAATAAATTTTATTATTAAGTGCGTTATCAAGACATAGTGCATAGCATAAAATTTATGAAAAAGAAAAAATTCCAATCATATATATAGAGATATATATATATATATATATATATAATAAAATTGTATTCTTATCCTTATCCTTTTAGTTTATCTCTTTCCTACGTGGCTTATTGACATAGCAAATAGGTGCAACGCGCTCTCTGAGTTAACTCCCTAATAACCTACACTATTCTATCCCACTTTTTTCTCTTGACTTTACAATTCTAGATAATCCTTCCATAATTATTTCTTCCATTCTCTCACCTTTCCTTAACCTTAATTGTCAAGCCTAAACATTTTTAAATTTTCTTTAGCACAAACTTTCTTTTGTTCTTGAAGAATTTAATAAGGTAAACTTATATCTAATTTTTGAGAAGTTTTTAATAATAGTAGACAATTTGACACTTATCTTAGCCGTTGAATATTCTAACAAAAAAAAAATCTATTATGCATTTCATTTTCAGGAAGGATTTAGCAATGAAATCGTGTCATCAATTAGAAATAAGATTACATGGAAACCTTTTGTGTTCCAAATCAAGTTGAACAATTACAATCTGGAACAAGGTAGTAATAGATTTACAGTAACTAGATGGTTCCACTGTGATTTCGAGAGGGAACGAATTTCATGCTTTCACAGGTAATGTACAATAAATTTCTCTTATATTTCACATATTATATCTCACATAATATTTTGCCTTTAATTTTGATAAATCATTATCAGATTGGTGGAACCAACAACCAATACCAACCTAAAACATCTTCTTCCCAGATCCCAATTAGTACACCGGATGATTCTAATCAACAGCATTTCAATACACTTCATATGAATCATTCATCAGAGGGTTCAACAAAAATCACAGAAGAAGGGAATCCTCATAAAAAGATTTGCATGAGAAGGTAGATTTAATATACTATTTTACTTTCTTAAATTATAATCTTTACGTATTGTTATACACAACTTTGAATGCGATAAATCATTTATTTTCCAATACTTAGTTATCTTGCTTTGCTATCATGCAGCGATAATGAAAAATTAATAAATGCTGATTTGCACAGACAGATCGAGGAGCATGCTCAAACATAAGAAAAACAAAAACAAGTTTCTGAAGAATAGAATATTATTTGATACTATTTACTGCACTTCTTATTTATTTTCAAGTTTTTTAATATTATGGTATTGTTGAATGATATTTTTTCTATTTTTGAATTATTATTCACTGAATTAGATGTTCAAATTTATATTATAAGAATATTTTGTATTACAATGCGCACATAGTAATATACTTAAGACAAGTTATAATAGATTATACATTAAAATTTTATTTTATATCGACATTTTTATAAAATTAGTTAAATAATTTATGTGTGAGGGCACTTTTATGTTTGTTTGTTTCCAACTGTAGCTACTTATTATAATATAAAACGATACTGCAAGTTCGGTGATTTTTGTCTCTCTTTTTTCCTTTTCAAACGATATTGCAAGTTTTGTCGGCTTCTTTTCTTTTCACATTAACCTTTAAGCCATTTATATTAAGTACCAAAATTGATGTCTTGGTAACGGGTTGGCCATTCTTTTGTTTACAGAAGATCAGCCAAGATTTGATCTTCCTTATTTTCAAGTTTTTGAATGTCATCATATTGTTGATTTTTTTTTTTGCATTTTTGAATTTATTAATCACTGAATTAGATGTTTAAATTTACATTATAAGACTATTTTTGAATAACAATGTATTTAAGAAAGGCTATAATAGATTAGACAATAAATTTGTATTTTATGCAAATATTTTTATGAACTATACTAAATAATTTATTATTTTTAGACAATTCCCATTCAACGAACGGGTACAAAACTAGTTCAATATATAAATACAACCACGTCGATAAAGTTACACTAACTTCTGCAACAAATTCATCAACGTTCCAATTGTACCTAATCTCAATTGCAATTGCCCCAAATCTCTTCAACCCCACCTTAATTGATTCAACAATATTAAAATTAGCCAATTACAGTTTTGCCACAAGTCACGTATGGTAGAACTCATGAACACTGATATATAATTAGTTATAATTACAGGAACCAACGATCCAAAGAGGACTAAGGTGTGCTTGATAAAATTAAAATTTAAAAAATAAAATTTGAAATCTGAAGTTTGAATCTATTAAGTTAGTGAATTGTTAAATACTAGATTTGATACATTTAAGTATATATCACATTAAGTAAGTTTTACTTAGAAAATTTAGTGGCATTTAATTAATTCAGATATTATATTTTTGCTTTATCAAATGCATCTGAACATATTAAGTTTAAGTACTAAATTGAGTTATTAAAGAGAGCCTATCACATAATTAGTAGAGCGTACTCAAATAAGTGGACAAATGGTGAGATGAACACTAACGCATAATCAAATCATATTTGCAATTAGTTCAATTACAATTTAGTACCTCTAATTTTTTAGTGTCAATTTTAATTGTATGATCACTTGACCAAAGTTTTATTATCTTTCAATTAGTAATTATCCTTACAATTATTAAAATTGCAAATATTTATATATATAGAAGGACAAAAATGGCCTTGTATAGTTTCCTCTCTTGGAAGTTGGATCCTTTCATAATTTATTAACAATTATTAATGACTTTATCAAAATAGGTACGACGGACCAAGTTAAAAGAGTTCCCTCACTTTAAGAAAAAAAAAACACATTTAAAATTTTTCCCAATCTTAGTGACCTGTTTGACATTTGTTGTTACTTGCAAGGTCTAAATAATTGATACTACTACATTTTTTCTTTTTTCTTTTTTCTTTTTAAGTTTGAGATACCAAATTGAGACTTTAGGATTAATATGACACATTTTCAATTCGAGAGACCAAATTCAGATTTCGAAGGAGCAAGATGGTATTAATCCTCAATTTTATTTAAGAAATTAATTGGTACAACATATGCACCCTTACAAAGTACAAACATTCTTCATACTGAGTACTGACACTCTCAAACATTCCCTTCTGGATGCACTTGCATACCCATCTCTTTCTCGTTCCCTGACTCAGAATACTCAAATCTCTTGTAAATAAAGCCCTTTGCCACAAAAAGATATACGCAAAAATTCACAGCACTTAACCCTGCCAATATCCAATAAAAGTAGTGAAGATTTGCTCGATTTAGATTGTCAACAAGCCACTTCTTCCCGCTGATCCCTTGAACTGCAGTAATTGCTAAGCTGCTCATGAAGTTTCCAACTCCAATTGAACTAACATATGCAGCCGCACCCATGCTTCTCATTTCCTCAGGCATTTGATCGTAGAACAACTCCTGCATTCCAACAATGGTGAACATATCACAGACCCCAAACAACATATATTGTGGAATCAACCACCAAATTTTCATGGGGACTATCGATTTCGGCGAGTCAGTAAGCCCATTCTCTCTTGCAGTTTCTACTCTTTTAGCCTCCACCAGTCCAGCAACTACCATGGCTATCGAAGATAAGAATAGTCCGGTGCCGATTCGCTGCAGCATTGTTATTCCAGAGGCCTGGCCGGTGAATTTTCTTGCTAGTGGAATAAATGCTCGTTCATAAATAGGGACAGATATGAGG